TCCAGCAGATCCACATTCCCCCCCAACCTTGTGTCATCATCCCCCCAGTTCCCACCCTGGACAGCCCGACTGCAGAGGGCTGGACAGCGCCAGAACTATCAGCTCTTGCAACGTATTTTTCTGCAGATTCTCAACCAAAACACCGAATGTTATGCTAGGAGTGGTATTCCCGTGTTTTATTTGTGTTCACTTGTCCAACAGCAATTAGCACCAGTATGTCATTAAAGCATCTCGCAGGGAGCCCATGGGTGGTTATTGCAGCTCTGCTCTCAGTTTGGGTTTCATAGGTGTGAGCTGGTGGGTCTGGTGTCCCACAGAGCCTTTGCCTCACTCCTGTCTCCATCACCACTGGGCGAGCTGTAGGTGAGAGCCGCTGGTTTGCAGGAGGGTATGTTTGGATTCGAAGCCAGAGAGGGTTTACACCTGTAGTTTAAACATCACTCTCAGTGAGGATTGTGCCACAGAGATAACCCAGCAGTAGTGGCCGCAAGAAGGGATTTGGCTAGTGAGACACACTTCAGGCATCGAGGTGAGTGCAGCCTATGGACCAAGTTCTGGGGAGCTGTCAGCCTTCCCCATTGTTACCTGGGCTGTACCACAGCTGTTTCCATGGTAAGGCAGCCTAAGCCCACTGCAGGACTGGGGACATGGCCAGTAAGCAATGCACCAGCAGAGGAATGGTGATGTTGGTTTTAGCTCTTGTGCTCTTCCTGCCCAGTATGAGGGACAGAGGTGTAAGAGGAAAAGTATTGCTTACCCCACTAGAAGGTCACAGTGCTGTCCTGGACAACAGTTTCCAGCCACAACAGAAGCCACACCACACAGTGCAACAAGTCCTCTGGTCCAGGAGAGACCAGAGACTCCTCCAGTCTTTCATCCTTGCCAGAGGCACCTGCACTGACACTGTTTTTTCCAAAGGCTAGCCTGGCTCCTTGCTGGAAGCAGGGAGAGCAGGTGTGGTAAACAGCTACTGACTGGTAGTTAGCCAAGGATATCCGTGGGCTTTGGGCTTCTTTCCCACTAAAGCATGACCCCAGTCCACCCACCTCCAGTTAACATCCAGCCCCGTGTCCCTCAAGACACCATTTCAGAAATCAGCAATATTTTAATCAAACCCTACTAAGGCCATCGTTACTTTCATGATTGCACATATTCCTCTCTCTGGAAAGCACAAGTATCCTTGTTAACACTCAAGGACAGGGTCGAGCTTCCCTCTTCCTGCAGCCAGGCAGTGTGGCCAGAGCAACCAACCACCTCCCAGCACCAACAGCCACAAGAGCTGATCCCAGATGGCTGAGCAGGCAGCAGGGACAACTGTCAGGAGCTGAGTGACAGCTTAGATGTATCGCTGAGTTTTTGCCAAGGCTCATCTCACCCAGTCACCTACAGCAAGGAGAGGCTAAGTACAGGGCTGTGAGCTGGAATCACTGGAGCACAAGGACATGGCACAGAATTGGGGCTTTAGAAGTCACCACTGTACTCTCCCACACACATAAAGGCTGGAGCAACTCTGGGCAGGCTCCACATACCCTGGGAAGAGACATCACTGAGGTGACAGTACCCAGAATTGATTTGCAGTGTAGTCCAGCTACATCAAGTGGCAATAAAACCGTAAGTGGCTCCAGGACAGCCTGTGCCCCATTTAGTGAGATGAACAGTGGCTTTTAAAAAGATCACTAAATCTCATCAGTGCTACCTATACAAACCTCATTTGTTTTAAAGGCTCCCATTAAAGTGCCTTTTATCCCTAGCAATAGGCAGTTTTAAATTGCAAATAACTTCTAAGATCAGTCCTGCTGTCCCACGGGAGAGAGAGAGGCTGTGGCAAGGGCTGCCCTTGGGGGACAAGGGTTCTTGAACACTGTGTTGAGTGTCTGGTTGAGATCTCCCGGTCCTGGCGTGGGAGTGCTGTGCAGCAGTACTGTCCCGTGGCTTTGCCGTGGTGTGCAGGGTCTCTGCTGAGTTGTCCAGGACGACTTCACCTTCCAGAGACCTCTGGGGATCCAAAGCAGGTCTCACCTCCAGCACGGATGTGTGGGAAGTGAGATGGGGCTGGTGGCTCAGGCCTCAGCATCGTCCTGGCCCAGCGTGTCAGCGTCGCGTAGGAGCGGTGTGGTCTCGGAGGAGGGGGATGCTTTGCTCTGCGTGGTGGGAGGGATCAGGCTCTTGTCGGTGGTTCTCTGCAGGGGAGGGACACGAGTTACAGTGTGTACATGGAGGTGGCACCGAGATCAGGCAGCAACTGCATCCCCACCTGGGGCACGTGCACCTCAAACCTCTTGGACTTTCATGTGGCCAAGGACCCTTGTCTTAAAATGATGAGTTTTGTACCTCCTCCCCTAACAACATGAAGTTATTTCCATTCCTGCCCACTGACAGCTATAACATCCCCCAAAGGCTCAGCCTGAAGAGCTGTGTCAGCAAGTGGAGGAGATATGGGACAAAGTCAGTGCAGTATGAGATGGGACATGGACAGTCTTTTCAGGGACAGAAGAGCCTGAAGACCCCCAAATGCACCACACACAGCACTTATTCCTAGCAGAACACCAGGTGCAGCCTCTGGGGAGGTGAAGAATGGAAGTTGGTCTTTCTGGCACCAAGAGGAAGGCTCCTCCTCACCTATAGGCTTACACCTACAAAATAGGTCACCACCCTCAAATTTGAGGAGGAGCCTAATACATATTCAAGCAGATCATGTGGGCCCTGACCCTAAATCATGGAAGAACCTCAGTAGGATGCAGCAAGTGACAGGAGTGGGTCACTCCCTGCTACTAAGGACAGAGACACCCACCTAGACATGTGCTGCTTACTGGGGACTTGGATTGGGGTGTTGTGAAGGGACTGCAAGGCTTGTCTAACCCTTTGACTATTGCCCATTGCTTCTTCAGTGTGGGAACAAGTGATACTACCACCTGGAAACTATTTGGGCATGTTGGCATTTGGTTGAAGGCTGGACTTGATGATCTCAGAGGTCTTTTCAACCTTAATGAGTTGATGATTCTATGATTCTAAAAGTGACTACAGATCTCAAATGGAAGGATAAAGCCAGGGCAAAAAGGATGTGTAATATTCAATGATCACTGACTCCAAGTTCAAGAACAGTCTACTTCAACAAGCATCCCAAGCCAGGAAAAGATGCCAGCAGGCCTACATGGATGAACCAGGAGCTCCTGGCTAAACCCACAGTCAGAAAGGAAGCATAAAGAAGGTGGAAGTAGGGACAGGTAACCTGGCAGGAATACAGGAGCACTCTCCCAGCATGCAAAGATGAAGAAAGGAAAGCCAAAGCTCAACCAGCACTAAATCCAGTCAAAGATACCAGAGACCAAAAAGGCTTCTATGAGTACCCAGGTGCCAAAAGAAAGAGTAGGGAACATGTGGGCCTGTTGCTGAATGAGGCAAGGGACCCCAGAAACCAGGGGAAAGTCTGGAGCAAGGAAGACACACCCTTGGTGGAAGAGGATGAGGTCAGAGAATACTTAAGCAGCCTATATATACACAAATCTATGGAGCCTGATAGGATTAGTGGGCTAATATCACAGGAAGACCACTCCCAAAGCTTTGAACAGTGCTAGCAATGAGTAGAGGGGCCCAAAGACTGAAGGAAAGCAAATGTCACTTCTAACTTGAAGTAGATTAAAAAGGAAGACCTCAGGAGCTACCAGCCAGTCAGCCTCCCTTCAGTCCTTGGGAAGGTGATGGAGCAGCTAATCCTAGGAACCATTTCCAGGCACATGAGGGACAAGAAAGTCATCAGGAATAGTCAGCATGGCTTTACCAAGGGGAAATTGTGCTTGACCAACTTTGATAAACATGTATGATGAAATGATTGGCTTGGTAGAAGAGGGGAGAACAGTGGATGTTGTCTACCTGGATTTCAGGCCTTTGACACTGTCTCTTCCATAAAAACCTTATAGGGAAGCTGATGAAGTATGGGCTGGATGAGTAGTGAGGTGAATTGAAAACTGGCTGAACAACCAGGCCCAAAGGCTCATGAGAAGGGGCATGAGGCCTAGCTGGAGGCCAGTAACCATCAGTGTACACCAGGGGTCAATGGTGGATCCAATCCTGTTTAACATCTTTATTAATGATCTGCAAAAACTGGGAGAGTGGCTGATATGCCAGAGTGACCTCAGCAGGCTGAGAAATAGGCTGGAGGGACCCTCATGAGGTTCAACAAGAGGATGTACAAGGTCTTGCACCTGAGGAAGCACAACCCCTCACCAATATATATCCAAGGGTCACCCAGCTCTGAATGCACCTTGGCAGAAAAGGAGCTGAGGTTCTCAGGGGACACCAAGCTGAACACGAGCAAGCAGCCTGCCCATGTAGCAAAAGCAGCCAACTGTATCCTGGGCTGTACTGGGAGTGTTGCCAGCAGGTCACGGAGGTGATCCTTCCCCTCTGCTCATCATTGGTGAGGTCAGACATGGAGTACTGTGTTCAATTCTGGCATTCCCAGGACAAGAGAGATCGAGCAACTGGAAAGAGTTCAGCAAAGGACCACTAAAGTGATTATGGGTCTTCTGTGTGAGCAAAGGCCAAGAGAACTGGGACTGTACAGCCTCAAGAGCAGAAGGCTCAGTGGGGATCTTACCAATGTATACAAAGATCTGAAGGGAAGGTGTAAATACAGACTCAGGCTCTTCTTGGTGGTGTCCAGGGACAGGACAAGAGCCAAAGGAGACTTAAACACAGGAGATTCCATCTGACCATTAAGAAATACTTTGTTTGGGTTTTTTTCTGTGCAAACTGTAGAAAATGAGAACAGGTTTCCCTGGGGTATCTCCATCTCTGAAGCTACTCAGAGACAGCTGGACACGATACTGGGCAACCAGCTGTAGGTGACCCTGCTTGAGCAGAGAGGCTGGACTAGATGACCTCCAGAGGTCCCTTCCAACCTCACCAATTCAGTGATTTTGTGAGCCTGTGAATACAAACCCAGACACTTTATACATCAGAAATTCCCTCTTGAAAGCCTCTCCATTGAGGCTTCCTACAAGCAGGGGAGGGGTGATACCCACCAGTTGACTACCTCTGTTTTACCCATTCAAAAACTTACCTCTGGATCTCCAACACTTGGAGCAGGGGAATACAGGCAGGAAAAGTATTTCCTCACACCTCTCCTGCTTTTCCCCCTGATCCCTGCTGATACTATTAGGGCTGCAGATCAGGTACACCAGGAGAAACAATAAGAGCATGTGCTTGCAACCTGGTTAAGTGCAAGTATTAAGACATCTAAATTGCCCTGAATAAAGCATCATTCTATCAAAGCTTGCCAGGAGGGCATGTCTGGTAGATGTGGACAGTAAACGTTTCATTTGATTGGTTTTAAGCAAAGTTTAATCAAATCAGGAGGAGAGAAAAGCATGTTACCTTGACTGGGTACCCACCTACAGTCTGGCTTCCCGCAACACCGTCCCCTTAACCGGAGGCAGGTTTTTGGCAGAGGTGGCCTGGTTGGCCTTATTACTGTCTGAGTTCTTTTTATTGCTACTCCAAAATAAAGAGCATTTTTCCTAGAAGACAATCAGTCTAGTTTATGGTGCACTTGGACATGAATTTCATGAGGGTTCCAATTTTCGGAGGAGATTCGAAAAAAAATAAAAATCACTGTTTATCTAGAATCTAGTTATTAATGAAGATTTCAAAATTTAGATTGAACTAAGTCCTATTGAAAATTTTGGTCCATGTCAAGCCAGTTTTAAAACGCTCTGTTTGCCTTTTAAATGTGAGGCTTTAGGCCACAATGGCAAAGGAGAGCTACAATGTCTGGGCAAGTTTTACACCCAATAGAGATTTACACATTTTTTGGAGCTGCAGGTCCAACAGATGCATTTCAAACTGGCTCCACTAGAAACTAGACTAAGATTTAAGTGTTTCACAGTACCTCATATCTGCACTGCACTCAGAGCACACTGCTCCCTCCAGAAGCCAGAGGCACACCAGACACTCCGGGGAGGAGCTGGGTTCAGGGAGACCTTCACGCTGGCAGACACGTGAAGGTGTGGACAATGTCCCCGCTCAGTGTCCCCTCTGACATCACCTGTGACTTCGAGAGGCAGAACTGTGCACGATTAAGCAATCAGCGCCAGATCAGCAACACTTCAATCAAATGAGGAACACACCTTGGCTGCAAATTGCTGTCTTCCAGTTTACAAGCTCTTATCTACTCATTAGGCAGAGACGTTCATGCCTTGTTGTGCAGCTTTCTTAGAGATTTATACAGTCATTGAGGCTTTTTGTTATCACTTTCCAGGTAGTCAGGCACTTCCTGCAGTTGATTTTTAGTTCTAACACTTTTGGCTGAGCACACAAATACTGCTGGCTTATGCCTGGGTTTGGGATACTTCACAAGCAGATATTCAGTTGACTTGAATGAGTTTAAAAATCCAGCTTTTCTCCCTGACCCTTTCTGGCATGTTTCAACCTCTCTGATACCAAGAATTAAGACTTGCACAAAGCAGGGTGAGGAAATGCCAGCTCAGGGCTGCATAAGGTGTTGGAAATAGCTGCCCAGTCCTTGTTCAGACCCACTGATGTCAAGCATCAGAGTGCAGTCTGTCTGCCAGCAACCACTCACATGTGCTGAAGTGGAGTGGTTCAACCCAGGACCCTCCTGGGAGCACAGTAAGGGTTTGGTGATGAGCTCTGAGCTCTGTGTTGGGCCCTAGCATCACTCCCACTCTGCAGGGAAGTGCATGGTGGAACGAGGGGATTTGGGATCATGTGTTTAAGTCAATTAAGCAGTTGTAGACTTGGTTATAATCCAATTACATGATACTCTGAGAACCCTGGTGCTATTTAAGGTGGGTCTGCACTAGTGTTTCAGTAAGGGCAGCTACAGGAGGCTGAGCAAAGGCAGCCCCTCAGACAGGCCTCCCCTTAGCCCTCTGTCATCCCTAGCATTGCCTTTTTATCCCCACAAGTAGCTTCTTCACCTCTGTAGCTTTAGAGCCAACCTAAGCCAACTGACTGTAGTGCAAAACTAAATCAGCTTGCTTTGATAGAGGTTAGGGTAGGGAGCTAGATCTCTGCTTCAAGAGCTAAAGCTTGTAGAGAGCTTAGTGTTATCAGATCACTGTTGTGGAGCTGGAGCCACAGACCTGCACTGAGTGTTTTAGCTGTTTGATATTCTGTCCTGACAGCTCAGCTCAGTCTCACCCCCACTGCCCTCCCCATCAGGGGCTGACTGCTGCCAGCTCCCGGCAGGCTTCAAAGGTCTTCACTTCTCAGTAATCCCACATCCACAAAGGCTCTGAGGGTTTCACTTCCAGAGCTATTTGGAGTAGTTTGCACAGAAACCAAGTGTGTTTCAGGGGAAGACAGAATCTGGGCTGGGCTGAGAAGCAGCCACAGTGACCGTGTCCCCTCTGCAAGAACAGAGCAACAGCACCTCATCTGTGAGCAAGCTGTGCTCAAGTAGCTCCATCCTCTGGAGAAAGCTCTGTTCTGATTAGAAAAAACTGTTGGGACCCTGCAGAGATGCAGATTTGTGCAGTGGCACAGACCTGCTGCTGCCTTCTACAGATGCTGGGTTGAAGAACTAGGCTTGTTTCTTCATTAGCTAGGTGAGCTGAGAAATACCTCCTCCTCCAGGAAGCCACTTTCATCACTGCCGTGCACCAAGAAGGTCAGAAATGATTTATATTATCTATTTTCAGCCAAATTTCTAGATGGCTGAGGAAGCCCTGCTGCTATCTGCTGGCACTTGGCACCACTAGGAGATTGTTGGTGGCATCAGCCAATGTTTCCTCAGGCATGTTAGATTGTCAGCCCAATCTATATAATCTGATTCAATCTGATTTGACTAACAGCATTTCCCATTAGACATCTGCAGATTCTTACCTTACTCATTGCCATGAGTACAGCTGCTGAGATAATGAGAGGGACACTCAGCCCAAGGAAGATATATTGCACGTAGTCCAGCAGCGATGGGAGCAGCACCAGGTTGGTGTAAAACTGCTTTAGGACTGAGCCTTCGATAGATCCACTCTGCTCAAAAAAGCAGAGTTGTCAGTGGCATTTTCCTCCCATCCAGGGCTGAGACAGACCAGCTGAACAATTCCTCTCCCACCACCTCCCAGCAGAAATTTGGGAATTTATGCAAGATTCAGTCAGGCTAGAAGCTTTTACTGGAGTCAGCCAGACATGCACACAGCTGGAGGCTGCACTGCCTGGCCCACATTAGCACGGGGAGCTGGCAGCTCTGTCCTGGGCCCTATTTAACCCCACATCTAGGGCAGAGCCAGAGATTTACCAAGTATAGTGCAGGGTTTGTTCAGCTCAGAGAGATTAGTGACACAGCCAAGTATTGAAAAGCCTTCTGTTGGTGCTTAATTAGTCTGGCTGGCTTAAAGCTTTATCCAAAGGGGAGTTTCCCCAGCACTGGGTGATGGGGAAGGAGGAGAGGCTCTGCAGAATCAGGTCAAGGAAGGCAGCTCACCTCAGCAAACCACAGCAGCGGCAGGACCACTGGCTTGATCTTCCCTGTTTGACTGGGAGGGGAAGAAAATGAAAAAAAAAAAAAAAAAAAGAAAATCACACAGTAAGGTTTATGGTTGACCAAGGCCACAATTAGTACCATAATTCTTCCTAAGGGGATGGGGCTACAGACATAGTGGTCAGGAAACAGCATAAGGAGATGACAATCCCTGCTGCTTCAGTGAGATGCTGCCACCTTGGGGGACAAAATCCAACCTGGGCTTTTCATGCAAGAGCAGAGCTTACACTTCCACTTGGGCTTAACTGCCTGAGGACAGCAGTAAGTGCCATCCCAAACCTGAGCTCCAGGGAAATGAAACTCAATAAACCAGAATGCTAAAGTTCATGCCTCAGTCACCTGGATGGTACCATGGGGTGGTACAGCCAAGCTGGAAGCACTGGGGCTGTGTGCAGGTATATGCACCTCAGTCAAAGCAGCAAGAGCACACTCCCACCTTTACAGATATTTAACATCTGGCACCACACAATTTGGTTACAGAGACTTCCTGTTTGCTTTCACAGAGCTGGAAGTGTCTTTTTGGACACAGACTTCCCTATCCACCCTGCAGGCAGAGTGTGTTTTGCCTCACCAGGTTGGAGGTAACACCCAAACAGCAGCACAGTGCAGGTGAACTGCTCCTGCCTTGCCATGAGGAGGAGTCCATCCATCCATCACCTGTCTGGTCAGGGGTGGGAATACTGCCAGAGCTGAGCAAACAGGCAGCCACACATTGCACTGCTAAAGGACAGCAGCTTGTGGTCACAGCAGGAGCCAGCTGGCTCCAGAAATCAGGACAACAGGTCATGGTAAAGCTGTTTCATCTTTGGAGAGAGTAAACTCCACAGTGACCACAGCACTAGCAGCACTCCCTGCTCAGGGGAGGGAGATGGACATTTCTAGAAAGTGACTACTTACATTATACCAGACACCTGCTTTATGTACTGGTTCAGCTGAAGCTTGATGGAGCAATTCATGGGGATGCCAGTCATCTGCACAGGAAGAGACCAACCAGGTCATCAGTGACTTCATAGGAACCAACAGACCCTTCTCAGCAATGCCCCAAGACCACAAAAACATCACACCTCAGAGCTGGCCTCATTGACACCCATTAGGGCATTGGTTTCTCATGACACTGCAGTTTTGCAACTCATTTTTACAGGCAGAGAGTTTTTCTTGGACTGTCCCTGTTTGTACTCAGCAGCCTACAGCTAGATAAGAATATAGTTAACTGTACTGTTATCAGTAGATGTTTGATACTGTAATAAACTTAATTAGATTTTCATAACTGTGATAAGAAAAGCAGTCAGAACTCAATGCCGAGATAAGAGGCAGTTTACCTTACCTCAGGAGAGAAATTGGTTTTTTGCTTGAGCAAACATCACTGATCATTTGGAAAAACTGACCATGCCCAACACAGGCTGTGGGTAGAAAATCCCAAAGTGCCCTCCCCTTCATCAGCTGGGACAATGATGCCTCAGGACACCTCAACTCATCCCTTCTGGAGTGGTGATTTTACCCTTATGCTGTAGGTCTGTGAGGAATGTAACACAGCAGCCTGGTGCAAAAGCAGCCAGTTTGGTGGGCAGGTTGAGAGACTGGAAGAAACCAGCTCAAAACTGGTGGTGTCAGCCTCAGCCACAGCATGGTCTCCGAACCTTGCCAGCCAGTTCTCATGCCAATACACATTTGCAGATTTGGGGCATAGCTGGGCTGCTGCCAGATACACCTCCTGGTGTTATAGGCCTGAGTCAGTAGAAAGAACTTGACTGTGCTTATCGAAACAATTATGCTTATAATTGGTTCTGCAATTCTCTAGAAGCCAGGCTAATTATTCAATCAGTTTATGGCTTTAACATTTTTATCTGCACATGTCCTCGCCAGTCTTTGCACTATGGAACCTGCTCAAATCAGTGCCACGAGAGCAGAGTGGGGCCACCACGCAGACAGCAGCAGAGCAGGGGCGAGGGGAGGACCTGGGTGGGCTCACTCACAGGGTGCACATCGAGGAAGAGCGCGTGGTGCTCCTTGCTGGGGTGAAGACCTTCGACAGCATTCACCAGGGACGGGTCAGCGTTGTAGAAGTGAGGGTGGGAAATGAACATCGGCGCATCTGGATGAGATCAAAGGCACCTTAAGCTCCTTCACACCCATCCGAGACTTTGTTGAGGTTAAAACCTTGAAGTACTTGTTCTGAACAAGCTTTTATAGTTTGTTCCTCCCAGCAAGAAAGCTCCTTCCCTGCCCACAGGTTATTCCATTGCTCTGGGAGGGTGAAGACTCAGGGTTTTAGCTGCTCTCTCCCACCATGCACCACACAACACTGTGGTAACTCACTGTTCCCAGACACCAAGTCTGGATCCTCGTTCCTGCCTGACCCGCGCTCCATGTCCAAAGTTAACATTTGATTTGGCAGTTACATGGGCTGCTCTTCCCTGCTCTCTCCCCAGCTCAGGGGACATGAGCTCCCACTATACCCTTGGGTATTCCCACAAATGCCAGGCTGGGATCACAAGGACTTTGGGCACAAGGTTCCCTCATTGCAGAGATGCCTATGGGAGTGCACACAGAGCCCAGCAGTACCTTTCAGCACTCTGGATACCCCTCCTGGTGTTACAGACCTGAGTCAGTGGAAAGAACTTCACTGTGCTTATTGAAACAATTATGCCTGTAATTAGTCCTGCACTTCTCTAGAAGCTAGGCTAAATTGGAGCTGATTTTCCAGCCAGCCAAGCTTCTATCACAGTTCAATCCTGGTATGGCTGGGGAGGAAAGGACTTACTGAGCTTGCAGGTGCTGACGTTCTGGATGCCAGACTGCATGCAGGGGCAGAAGCCCTCGTTGGGTGGATAGTCTGTGCCATTGGCAAAGAGGGTTTTTGGTGCCACGAAGCGATAGGTGGGCACACCCTTGAACTTCCCCGACCGCTCATACACCAGTTTCATGGATCTGGAAGGGTTTCAGTGGAGAAGGATCAGGGTTAGCCAACAGGTTCCCAGCTCAGAATTGGGTTCTTATCTTCACTGGATAAGACGCAGTTGCAATTTAACTTAGACTTTGAGATCAAGATAAGCCCTCAGAGCAGTGCTTTGGATGGGGAGTGAGTATTTAAGCCATTTGCTTTCCATGTTTTAAGCACAGATAAAGGGTTGGTCAGGACCAGCTATGGAGTGAAACTAGAGGCTTATAAGTCTGTTTGCTGTATCCAGGTGAGATTTGTTTAAAGGCATGTAGTAATCCCCAGGGCTGCTCTCCAAGAGATAATACCCACTTTGTGCAAGCCTTGGCTCCGAGGTGCTCTGTCACAGGGGATGGACACTGGCTAAAATCTCTTTTGCAGCCCAAATCCAGCAATAGGCTGTCAGGGGAGTGGAAAATTTTACTACATTACACAGCAAGTTTTTTTCTGGCAACAATAAGCTATTGCTGTTACACTGCAATATCACTACCAGCTGCCCAGGATCAATGTGAGTATCTAGGACAAAAGTTTGCTCCCTTCACACTCGAGCAAGGCTTGCAGGGATGACAGAATGGGTAAGTGGGTCACAGCAGGGACCCAGGACAGCCTGGACAGGCCAAGGGGATGCTCATTCCTATAGATGCCTTCTGACACCAGGATCAAGGATGGGGGGGGAAAAAGTCCGGGCATATTCAGCAGTTACATGCACACCACTTGGCTGTGCTCACCTTCCAGCAAGGAGGCAGAGGCTGCTGTAGCACATCAGCAGGATAAACCTTGCCTGCCTTGCAGGGATAATCCAGATAGTTGCATCTCAGCATCAGCTGCACTTAGTGTGCACACAGCACAAGAGATGAGCCCTGTATGCCCTGCAGCAAGGTGGATATGCTCTTACTCTGTCAACTGATGTTCGAGCCTCTGGGCTAGCAGAGAGGCTGAGGCAGAGGTTTGCAGAGAAGAGACAGCACTGTCTGGTGAAGAGGCCAAGCCACTTCCCCCACAGCTCTGTCTGGCAGAAACCTCCCGTGTTAACAAGAAACCAAGCTTGGTTTCTCTCACTTCACTGGACACCTTGCCTGCAAACATGCTCTGTTCTAAAGCTTTCTGTAGTTTTACAGAATCGGGTACGTGTATTTAAACTTAGGTTACAGGTAAACTTCCCTGCATGTTCCTGGCTCCAAGTCATTCTGGTGTTTGCTGATGTTCCTTGTGTAGAGGAATTTCTGTGCTAGTGCTTGGCTCAGCTGACTTTGTTTATTCACTGAAGAGGTCATTGTTCTCTATTCAACATAAGGACTTGCTTGTTTTGCAGCATTATCTGCAGAACCTGAATTAACATTATCTTCCCCAAGCTGGAGACAGGGATTTTGTGCCTGCCTCTCCTCCAGCCTCAGGGATATGCACAGAGAACAGCTATGCAGGATACTTTAACCCCTGTGTGATCAGCTAAGTGTCTTAGACAGGGCAGACAAGCACAGCAATGCATGAACCAGGCAGAAAAAAAAAAAATAAATAAAAAAATTAAGAAACAGCCTGGAAATGGTGTCACAAGTTCTGTCCTGACAATCTCTATAAGGGTTTAGTCAGCTGAAACAGTTCTGCAAATAGTTCCAGCTGCATTTCCTCCTCACAACCCTTACTTCTCCCTCTCACTGCCCACATCTTATCTAGACTGGTTATTTTCTACTGATTCAATGTGGGCAAGTCGGACTTGTCTGATTATCTGGAAGGTATTTATAGACACCACAAGATGCTGGTAATCAGATAACTATGCTGTTGGCAAAGCTCAGATACTGCAACCCCAAAGTGCAGCTGAACTTTAACTACAGAAGTGAGTCCAGAGCCCTCTGTGTCACTGCACAGGTATTCTGTGTGTGCAGGATGAGTGCAGCATGTCCTGCCACCTGCACAGGGCCAGGCTGGCAGCTGTGGCCTCACCTGCAGGCATCAGGGCTGTAGAACTCCAGTGAGGTTGGAGACATGAACGGTGGCCACATCTCCCCTGATGTCCCATTGATCATGTTGCACTCGTTGCTCCGCCAGTAGCTCACCTGAGGGACAGGTGTAGAGAGAAGAGCTCAGAAGGATGAGCTTGTTAGAGTTGGCTTCCACCCCTGCATGGGACATACACCACCCTACACTGCTTCTATAGCAGCTTGAGGCCACAACACTGAAGAATGCCAAAGATCTTTCCCAACCTCAATGATTCTGTGAGTCAAACATTTGCCCAATTAATGGTCAAGACCCACTTGTTCCAAGTGCTCCCACAGTGGTTGATCTGTAAATTCAGTTGACTTGAGTTGGGAGTGAAAGTTCACAAGGAAAGAACAAGCATCCCTTTAACAAGGGTATTTAAAGCAAAGCTTTAAACACAGGCCACAGGAGCCTGAGACTTCAACCCTGAGAGGCAACCAGCTCTAACAGCATTTCAAGGGAGTCCAAGCAACACCCATGATAAGCTGAATTTAATGCTTCCTGACAAGCCCCTTGCCACGTGGCTGCCCCTTGCAACTTGCTAGTAGAAACTTGTCTTCAAACCTACAACACAGAGACAACAGCACCCAGAGCTTTCAGTTTATCTTGTTTTACATCAGGCACTGCCCCTGTATTAGAGATTTGCTGTCTGTCACTTACCTTCTTTAGCCCATTCCATGAATCCACCATGTGAACCTGACTGATGTTCTTCATGCCTGTGTTCACTGTGAACAGTCCTGAATTGGAATTGTTAAGCTGCATAGAGAAGAAACAACTTTTCAATCCATTACACACATCAAGCCTAGAATATATTACTGACTTTGGGTGCTTTGTCAGCTCTAGAGGTGCTTCACACAGTCAACTACTGAGCTTTTACTTATTTCAGTTGTGTGTCCGAGCTAACCCCAAGATCAATGTTGCTGTGGTTTTAGCATTCCCCAACCAACACTTTACTCACCTCTACAAATAAGCCAAACTTCCCCTTGAAAGGGATCAGGCCAGGAACAAGCATATTTATTGTGTCTATAAGAGGGTCTTCATAACCCCACATGATCTCTCCCACCGTCCGATTCATGAACGCCTCCTGTTTCAGGCCAGCCAGGGCTCCACTCAGTAATATCTTGATCACATTTGGCAGTTTTTCCATCATCACAGCTGCTCCCTGGGAAAGAAAAGAACTCTATATTGAGAGCCTCATCTTTACCTGATAAAAAGCATCTTTGGTGCTCAGCAAGGTCCTTCTGTTGTTCCGATCTATAGCCCCAAAGGGGCTGAACAGACTGAGGTTCTTCATTTATTCCCAGCTTGGGAAGAAAGCAGTTGAAGGCTCACAGGCTTCAGTTCACCTGAGGATGCTCAGGTAAGGTTGCAGATTCAAGCCCTGCAACCTTGCCAGCCCCTCTGCACACTCAGGCTTTGGAAGATTAATAGCCAAAAATAATTAACACCCAGAAAGCAAAAAATTGCCTTTTATAAGCTTAACCACCTCATTGCTTGATTAGCCTTCAGCCCTACATGAAAGTAACCTTTGAATCAATATTGGGCATCACCACCCTCCCTGCAAGCTCAGAAGTTGGAACCCACCCAGGGAGCAAGTACTTACCATCATCAAAATGTTCGGCACAACGATGTAATCGTCTTCGGTGCCATTGGACAAGTCTGGCTGGAAGAAAAGGTTCCGATACTCCAGGAAGGAAACTGTGTCATTGTCATGGAAGGTGATATTTGTTTTATACCTGTACTCTCTGCAAAGAGATAGGAGACATCATGGGAACCTTCTCCAAAGAGATGGGAAAGCTCATGGGAACCTTCCCCCAGGCAGAGCTCCCGCAGTGCCTGTGGAGCAAGGATGGGCTGCACAGGCTTGGGCTTGCTGCTGAAGTATGGAAAAGGTCAAATCCCAGTGAGGAGACCAGCTGGGGAGGCAGCACACCAGGGAGATGATGTCAGCCTCACACCCCAACCAGGGTTAGGGTCTAGCAGGAGGAGATGGCAGCCCATGAGCAAGGCATCCCTAACAGACTGGATTCTTGCAGACACCAAGTGTTTCTTCCCAACTCAACACCCAGCTGACAAGGGGTTTGAGACACAAGCATAAGTCTCCTCTGTCACTTCACCTACTGCTATTGCAAAGCTCAGCCCCATCAGAAAGGTGCCCAGATACGCAGAGCTACACCAATCCACACGCCAGGAGAGGACCAGACAGGATGCCACAAGATCCACCAGTGAGTCCACACTGACTTCCCCCCAGGTTCAGGGCAGTCTGACCCTCTGCACAGCATCATGGCCCTCCTGCTCCTCAGGGCTTCAGGCCATGCCATCTCCTACACACTGCCCAGTGCTGCTCCACTACAGCCTGTGCCACAGGGGCAGCCCAGTCTCAGAGGCTACGTTGCTCTGCAGCAGCATGAGGTTGTCCCCAACATTGTGAGTCTGTTACAGCTCCCGAAGGAACTGAAGCTCAACTCGCCAGCAAAAACAAAGTCCTTTACTGTGGAGCCTCTGTTTTACAGCCCACATTAAGGAAGGGCACTAATCTTGTTCAGCGGGAACACAAGGACACTAATAAGCTTTGCCCCTTTGTTTATTCTTATTTACAGTAAGTGAAGCCTTTTCCCCAAGCCAAAGAGACTGACGTGATTGCAACGTACAGATCCCACGTGGTGTGCCCTGGCAAGCCCAGGGGAAAGAGGGGCATACAGATACTGCCAGGTTTCCCCCCAGCACTGTTCAGCTTTGGGCTAACTAGTAATCTTCCCACGAGTTTGCTTAGGCTGTTGACTTCACCTCACCATATTAGAGCAGCCACTAATGTGTTAAATATCACTACTTATGGGTAAGCTCACACGCTTAACTAAAAGTCAACCATCACTTCATGTTTCAGGTGCAAAGAAGCATCTGGGGCTTCAGCCACCATCCTCAGCCATGACAAACAGACCCAGACCTGCTGTGGCTGGGGCTGATGCTCCATACTGGTTCCCATGACCAGAGCACTCATGCCAGGCAGGTTCTGGCTCTTATGCTAGATAAGAATTTAGGCCAACCCATGAAGTTTGATATTGAGGTGACTCCAGGTCCAGAGCTGGACTCTTAAATGCACAGCAAAGACAAAACAAGTGCACTCTGAAGATGGACACCCACCACCACACCAATGTCCTTCATGCCCATGTTTGGATTATATTAGCCCAGGTCTAGCTGCCCAACAGGCCCCAGCATGGCACTGAGCTTCACAACTTAGTGGAGCATTCACCAGCCTTACTACCTTGGTGGCCAGAGGTCCCACTCATGGCTTTAGCAAGATCAGAGCAATTAGAGCACATTTGGGTCGTTTTAAAATCCTATGCCACTGGACGCACACCAAGTATGTTAATGCCATGCCCTCCTGCCAGAGGAGTCAGACAGCAGCCTGGCCAGCAGCACGGGGACCAGGCTCACACCAGGCTGGGCTACAAGTGGTACCTGACCTGTACACATAGGGTCCACGTTGGCTCAGCATTGGCTTTGCTCCTTGGAGGACCTGCTTGGGGTTCAGCACTTCAAAGAAGTGCACTGACAAGTAGAAAGGAACAGGAATGTCTTTCCACATCTTGAAGGAGATGCTGTTGGGATCAATCCTGACATTCTGCAAGGGGAAAAGATAAAAGAAAACAAAGCAGTAAGGAGACAATTTCTAGGTTCAGTGGCTGCAGATGAGCACATCCACCCCTGGCTCCACATCAGGCCCAGCCAAAGGTGGCAGCTCCAGCAGGGGCTCTCCAGAGGATCCAGGCATGTTATGCAAACTGAAACTGAGCTAGATTTAAACTGAGAAGTCTTATGTATGCAGAAACATCAATTTTATGCCACAGGATATCTGTTGGCTTATTTATTCAGGCTCAACTTTCCTGAGCCTACCCAGAGGGTTTCAGAGTTTTTTGGATGTGCTGAACACTACCTCTGTGCTAGACAAATCAGCACTGAATTATTCACAGCTCTGCATGTTCCACTTGCCTGGCAGAAACAACTCTGCCCCCAAAGTCTTCACTCATCTGCTGCATTTGGCTGTTCCACACAGCCATGAGCAGGCAAGGGCTTGGAGAGGTGACACAGCCAGCCTCACAAAGGAGTGCCAACAGGACGAGCCCACTAGATTCCTCAAAAGCAACCAACAGGATGAGCCCATTAGATTCCTCAAAAGCAGGAGAAGTGGGATGGTAACCCAGCTGTGTCCCAATAGCACAGCACAGGATACCTCTGATTCCTCTCAGCTGCCATCCTGCATTGACTCATAGCTGCTCATGTGGCAGGTTGTGTTTCCATATCACTGTCCTGTTTGATGGGAAATGCCTTCAGGAGCTCAAAGAGAACTTAAGCTCTCCCCAGCAGAGTAGCTGACATCTGGGTACATCTGTCTCCACTCCCTCCCTCCCTGCCTCCAAGGGGCTGATTTATGGGCAAGAGCTTGTTCCTTCTTGAACATTTACTTCGGGTGTGTTCCACCATAATCCTTTTTTTACTGCAAGCACAAATCCTTGCCCTGCTTAGGTAACCCAGCCAGCTTATGGAAGTGATCCACTAACTTGTGAAGGCACGTGGGCTTTATCTAACTGCAGCTCAGCAGCTCTCCTGCTCTGGAGCAACTCGATATGACTGGACCCACATTTGCTGGCACAAGGCATTGAGATGAAATGTTGCCAGAGGCTTCCCCACAACACTCCATCTTTCTTCAGCTATTTCATGGTCAGGCTACCAGGATGGGCTACCCACAAGCAGCAGGGGTCTGCAAGTTTCTCATCCAAGCCCAGATCCTCCAAGTCCTGTCCCTGAGAGGACATCTCCACAGTGTAGTGTAACCCATCTAACATAGCAAACCCTTCCCACCTCCACTTCCATGCCCACATTCCACTGGCCAAGACCCTGCATCCTGCCAGCCTCCAGGATTTCATGGCAAAGCAGCACTGATAGGACATTTTCATTGAGTGTTTTATAATCCTATTGCCCAAGCATCCAATTGAGTATGTTTGGGAACATCTGGGTTTTCTTTACTTGCTTGTTCTGTCTTGCACTCCCTGATCACTTGTTGCATATGCATTTATTTATGTAATATGTATCCAGTCATAGGGAGCTGCATCCCAGCTCCCTGCTGCCTTTCCCAGCCTTCTCCCAACTGGGCACAGCAGCTCAAGGTACTGGTGCTGCAAAGATCCACCTAACAGGGTAGCCTCAGAATTAAGCTACTTGTAGGTCAAAACAAACATGGTCATATGTCTGTAATAAAAAGAGAGTATTTGTCACTTATATGGGTTACAAAGTGTGACTGAAGTGTTTGGCCTCATCTGACCCAGCAGCAGCCTCTCAGTTCCTGATGAACTGAAATGAACTTCTTACTGCCCATAGGCTCCAGGCAGGACCAGAAGAGCAGGCTCCACCACAGTGGCCAAATCCTGCATCTCCAGGAGGGAGACTCCAGGGGAAGGAGGTTGCAGCCACCCTGCTCAATAAAACTGAGAATTGAGGTTTCCCCTGCAGACTGAGAGGAGCACTCACGCTAGTTGTCAGGCAGACCTCAGCCTCCACATCCTCTCACCATCCTCCTCATCACTCTGCTAGACCAGCACGGATGGTGCTGTCAGCCAGCTCCCAGCTTTCAGCATGGACAGCACCAGAGCTCCCAGGTGGAGCAGCAAAGAGTGGCAGAGTGATGAGTTGATGCAGCCTCACTGTGTTCAGGCTCGTACCTTAGGCAGGTCCAGGGCATATCCCCAGTTTTTGCATGGCCAGCACCTCAGTCAGCCCAATATAAGTTCAGTTTCTGCAGATGGAGCGGGATATAGGCTCCAAGTCCTTTGGGTCTCAGACTCTCTTTATTTTTTTCTCTTAGGCCTAGGTTCCCCTACAGGCTTTACTCAAATTTTTTTCTCTTAGGCCTAGGTTCCCCCACAGCCTTTACTCAAAATATTCTCAAAGCCACCAACTCTTTGCAATTA